TACGCAATTACATAAATTAATAAACAGCCTAAATAATAACAAAATTCTAGCCCAAGTCACTATTCCACGCGAACGAAGTACGGGCACAGCTAGTATGTATATAAAATAATAAATATGTTCCTAATACATTTTCTTTATTTAAATAACAAATATTTCTAATAATCAAAGTGTTTTGAGTTCGGGCCACTATTTATAAATTAATATAATTCTTTTGAACATTTTAAGAGGTAGATAATGAAATCCGTCCAGATCACGAATCATCGTCGACATATAAAAATGCTGTAAAGTATAATCGCGTTTCGGTTGCAGTCTGCAGATTACCTAATATCGAAATCCAAAATCGACAGCGCATCTTATCTCTGTTATCTATCATTAAGTGTACCCCATTCTTCTCTGTTCTCCTGTATCAATGTTACATGGCAGAATCATTTCACCTTCCCTCATGTGAACCAAAGCGTGACAGAGGTAGGCAGACGAGCTGTCATATAAACATACTTTGAATGAATACGAAGCGATATTACTTATTTACTAATGTAATATCGTTACACAGTTTTTGGACCGTACAATTTATGTTAAAATTCACACGCTCTTTTACATTACTTCCCAAATGAACATTATTTTTATTTTTTGTTAAAGTACACACCGGGCTGAGTGTTAAACGGTGTTTTGAAAAGGGTACAGCTGTATAGAAGCCCGTATTTTTAATTGAGAACATATGGTTCTCTTTCACTTGTGACTCATTGTTTACTACATTTTTACAACGGACATTATTACGTATTTAATGCTACCGTGGCCCAATAGCTAATTTCACGAAGAGTCCTGAATTTAAATTTAGAAGATAATTTGTAATTATGTAACGTCACGGCAAACAAATGTGTATGCACTATTACCTAATAGTATACATTTACTATTATTATACAAAATCAATTTTGAATGGGAAAGCCATTATTATTTAAACAAAGAATATAAAGAAAATATGTGTGACCATCAAGATATGTTAAGATTATCTTAATTTTAAGATTTTCTTTGGCTGTTTTAGTTTATACCATTATATTTGTTTTATGCGTGTAGTGCCTACCTCGATACTACCTAGGTTATGCTATCCTAAATAAGATATGTATAGAGCTTAACATATTAGATTGTAAATATTATATTTTTCATACTCTGTACCATAATGTAGATAAATAAATAGAGATCTATACTTTATCATAATCCTAAAATCTAGAGCCAATAAGGTCTTGGTCTGTAAAATGATACTTCTCCAAATGTCCTCGATTCTAGGACTGCTTTCAATTGTGCAATGAAAGAAATCCCTTGATCATTTGGAGATCTTGATGCTGTCCTGCCACTAGAACAAAGGTTCCAAAATCTTTGCCTTTGCCATTGCTCAAATTGTCTGCAGTTAGGAAAGAATTTAAATATAACAGTTTAAACGGATGTAAATAACTATTTTAGTTAACTTATGTTACTAAAAAAAATGCTAATATAGTTTGATTGCAAAAGTAAAGAGAAGTATTCTAAATATCGCGGCTTTTTTATCAATATCAAATATTTATTGATTATTTATTAAAATCAAATGCTCCACGACTAAATTACTTATTTATTAATACTTTAATGCACAGTAGACAAGACAAAGAATACAAAGGAAACAAACAGCCCTTCAAAAGGTCTGTTAGCGCTGATTCTGTGAAATACATAGTTTTCTCTATCTGAAACTGAAATGAGACTGAAAGGTACCTCGTTACTTTTTACGTCCAGATATACGTTGACTCCGCGAGTAATTTAAAGGAAAATCTTTTGAATTTTCGCCTTTAAAACGTTCCTTGTAATGCTTTTAGTGTATTTATTAAAAACATTATACTGCATTGCTGAACTTCAAATGCGAGTGAATAGTTTGGACATTAGGTCATATAAAATGAAATAGTAGAGCGTAAGCGGAATTATACGATTAATGTTGCGAAATAATTCCAATAGAATTGTACAATATATTATATTTTGAAGCGCTACTATGATTATGTGTTTTCGAAAACGATTTTGCGAAAATAAGTACTTAATTCGTTGTTTAATCGTATAATAATAAGTAATAAAAATAGTCACTAAGATTTATGAAACATTTTTCACATAAGGGACAACCTCAATCTTCAGGCCCTCCGGTGGCCACGGCTACTGCAAAGCATCCGAACCGTCAGGTCGTAGTTAAAATAAGTTACCCAAAAACATTTCGTGTATTAAACCATTAAAAGTGTTTTATTTAAATCTGTACTAACGCATAAACCGACAGAACATGTTTTATACTATTGTCACATTATCATATATTCGTATTTTCTTTTCTTCCATTGTCTTTTTTAATCGCTTCCCGCTCCGCTTCTGAATGTGCCCGAGGCATATGCAGTGAGGATGGCAAAAATGCTGTTTGCGAAATTACCGAAGCTTTTAGTGACGGGACAAATGTTATTCAGCACTCGGACATCGCGCTTTGAACAACATCGCTATATATAATATTGTTATAACTGTAATTCGGCGCTAATTGTAGAGTCAGTGGACGGATGAGTATTCATATATATTTTAGACCTGCTTCTACATATTTCATTAGAAATAATTTATGAACATGATAAATTGGTCTGTAGTTTCCGCAAATGGTACCTACACATTTAAATAAAAAGATTTTAAACAATAAATTGTGTAAGGCTTTCACGGCCATCGTTCAGCATATCATTGTCTTTCGGGCTGTTCGGCCGATGTGAGCGAGAAGAGGTTCTCGACCTTTCGCCATCACGTGTAGACGGCATCATCAGGAGATGTTAACTCCTCGATTGCTCAAAGAATTCTTGTAGCCCGAAAGACAATGATATAAAGATTTTAAACGTTACGTTATTTATTTCAACTACGTCGCGTAGTTGAAAAACACAGTTACAGTACTAATATATTTTGCGTTTTAAACCGTTACAAGTGTTTTACTTATACAATAAATTAGATTTAAAATCAAATGCATATAGTTTCTTACGCTAGCATCGATATTTTAAATACTCGCAATTGAACTGTGCACAATCTTAGACAAACGAGTAAATCGAACCCACATCCGTCGCTTCTAAACACAATTTGGCACCGCAAAGCCCGACAAACGAGACCGTTTTTGCCAAGAATCGCTCCCAATATGAAACAATGTCAAGTGAATGGCAAGAAAAGCAATAACATAATGCAATAATGGATTAATAAAACGCTCTCATCTTGTTCTCTGATATTTCACGTTCAAATAATATTCCCCCGTTTCTCATGAGCATTGTGTGATGTATTTTTTTAGCCAAGAAATTCTGGATCCCAATGTTAGGGGAAAATGGTTTCTTTTATATAATATATGGATGGACCAACAGGATATGCGATTGGACTGGAATTAAAATGACAGAAAAAAACTTGAATCTTTAATTTTAATTCTTGCGCAAGTGGTTCTGGTGAAATTTTATGACATTTACTTGTATTTGTAAATTGTATTTAGAAAAGTTTAAAATTAATTTACACACGTGGTGCACACGATTGCATGATATAAATTAAAAATTGATTTTAGACCGTAACAATTTTAAGTCACAGGCAGGACTTGAAGCGGCCTCCACAGCGTTCTGTCGAAATTCACGGAACGCTGTGGATGTAATTTTTTTTCGTTCCAAAATCGATTGTTAATTTATGAAAACGTATTGTGTTAGTTTAGTATTATGTGGAGAGGATTAGAACAAATACATATTTTTTGTATAAATACACTTATTTAGCTCGTAAAAAGTTTAGTCGACAGAAAAACTTGGTATAAGCGATCAAATATTATTACTTAAATGGCGCCCAATGTACTTACATTGGGCGCCATTTTAAATTGTAGCGTAGTATTCTATGAAACGTTACGCGTTAATCTATCGCATTTTCCGTCCAATATTTTAAACTCGTAACTGGCACTTCGCAATCGAAAAGAATTTAATACACCTCGCACTGCATTCGACACAATTAATTAATTGTCATACAATCGGCGTACTCGATCAATTAAAACCGATGAAGGTAGAAACATTGCGACGTTGTTTGCAAGCGTTTTTTGCGTTCGCTACAAGGAAGTTTTAAACTCGCCGCCGGCCACGTTAAATCAGGCGAGATTTAAAATTTCAGCGCGCGACATGCCGCGGATAATTGAAAGCTAAATTAACAACGTTTTTCAGCTTTATTTCAGGCTTTTGAATACAGATATCCAATAAATGCTTGATTCATTCGCTTGTAACATGGTGAGTGCTACGAATCGCGTGGTTATAGCCGCTGTGGGCAGTTTTAGTTTAGCGTCTCCAATTAATCCAGAACATAATTTGTATAGTCATTTAGATGTGTGTGAGTATACTGAAAGTTATTATTTTATATTAAACAAACAAACTTCCAAAATGTTGATCACATCAAACAAGTAACCTAATAATGTTATTTAGGCACAGATTAGTACTTGTAGTATATTTGAGAAATGTACAAGTAAAGATAGTAAAGCAAAGTTGAATCTATAAATAATGTACTTTTAAAGCACTTCTTTTTCTATTTAATTGAGTGGAGGAGTTTGAATAGATTAAAAATATTTATTCGGTTTAAAAGTAACAATTTAATGAAGTAGCGGGCAATTTTGTGGTACATTAGACATTAAGAATATTTCTGAACGGCGCTGCCTAACGACGTTCGTAGTGGTAATTGGAAATTGAGTAATTATACCTAGCTGTTCTGTACGAGAGAATAAATATATCTATAAAATAAAAACATCGGTATAGTAAATGTCACTTTAAAATCAGATCATTTTCAAGATTCATAATGATCTAAAACAGAGAAGAAACTCTAGTGACTTCAACATATATATTATTTTTATTGTCTTGTTAGTATCTATATTTATATTCTATATAATTCACTATTTTGAATTAGTATACAATAAATACACTGAAATTAGAAATAACTCTCTGTATTTACGAATCTTTACATTCAGCAAAACTAAATATTTACTACCACTGTTCTTCTTCTATACAACCGATATGACTTTCGACCAACTTAAAAATACGTTTTTCATCCGACACGATTAAGCTGTTGTCTCTATCGAAAGCTAGACCATGCAGATTTCTTATATCTAATATTTTGTGGAGCTTCTCCTTATCGTAGCGAAATATTCCAATATTGGAGCAAACATACACATTTCCTTCTATATCTTCAGTTATCTGTCTCACCGAAATTAGTTCATTTATCGCGTATGCTCTAGACGGACCGTTCTCAAATTTATACAGCCCAGTTTTGTTAGCATAAATTATGTCATTATTATTGCATATGTGAAAGTAATCTATCTGCGTGGCTTCGAATTCCTTTACTTTGGCGAACTTGTCATCTATCTCCATATACAGCTGTTGATCCGGATAGTTTATGTAGAACAAGTTCCTCTTGAAGAAAAGATTCCAGATGTTCTTGCCTTTTTCTTTGTGAAAATCGGCAATCTTCGTTATCATATTGTATTTATAGATTCCATCACTGCCACCGAGGAATATTTCATCGTTTTTCTGATCTATAGCCACAGCGCAGCCGTCTGGTATTCCCGCTATGACTGAATAATCTTTCGTATCGATATTGTAATATGCCAATAAGAAGTTGAGATCAGAGTATGATTCCAGTACTGAGAAGCTAAAGAGAAGACTGTTGCTGGCTTTGTGAATGTTCAGGTTGAAAGCTCTACCGACGTGCGACCACAGGATCTCTTTTATATACCACTTGTTCCCCATTTTGATTCGGTCACACTCCTTATCCGGTATACAGTTGATTGTAATTAAGGACATCAGTAATATTAATGACGTAGGTTTCATTCCTGTCACATAACGATATAATTAATTATCATTGCTCTTAGTGAAAATGTATAAATCTGAATAAACAGTACTTTATCTATTTTATTTGATAGTTTTTGATTTTGATAACTACAAATACAAATACATTTTCACATACGAATTTGGTGAACGTTTTTAAAACCAATAAATTTACTGCGACCGCAAAACACACTGTTAATTGATGAATTGTGTAGTTGAAAGTAATTTAATAACAACATCAGTTTAAAATTACATACCAGCGACATTCATGTTTCACTCCACATAATTGAAATAATAATTGGGATGAAATTTAATAAAATATACGATGTTTCCGGTCGAGCGTGCCGTATCGCTGTGAGATAATCGCTAGTGTTGATCATTTGACGATTAAATTATATATTGGTTGCATAAATATTTTGGTAGCGCACTGATAACAATCTGCATTGTGCATTTTAATGACGTGTGCGGGCTCATTCTGTTTTGAATTTGCGTACTCCCCTTTGTTACATTGTTTTAAATATATCTACGCTATGAATTATCGCTATCTTTTATTAACTAATTAACAAATCTCTTGCGTTATCTGTGACATTCTCATCCTCATCTAATACCATATAGTCGTCCGAGCAAATTTTACTCTTATTACTGGGAAGTAACTTGTATACCGACGTTTTATCTGAGTATATTACGTAGTCTCTCTCGTCAAACGTCAGACCATACGCGTCCTGTATGTCTGCGATCTTCTTCACTCTAAGATATGGTTTCTCTTCTAGATACACTCCATCTGTAGCACATATATAAACATCACCGAAGGTGTCATCAGCTATTTGTCTCACTGAGATGCTGTCACTCAACACGATTGGATATCTCGTCAGTTTCTCGACTTTGTATAACGCGGTCTTATTGGAGAAATACACTTCGCCCATCTTTGATTTGAAGAAGATGTCCACTTCTATGTTGATAGCTTCAGCGACTTTCACGAAGGCGTCTCTATGGTATACGTGTAGCGTCTGCGACGGATACTCTATGTAGTAGAAATTTCTTCTCACGAATAAACCCCAAATTGACTTTCCCTTTTCCGAGAAGAATTGAGCTTCTTTCTTGATGAAGTCGTACTTGTAAATGCCGCTGTGCCCTCCGAAGTATACGTCATCGTTACCAGCGTCGTAGGCGATGGCATAGCCACCAGGAACGCCCTTAACGACGTGACACTCTGGTTTCTTTTTATTAAGATCACAGGCCTTAATCTCAAAGTCGATGTCCGAGTTATTTCTAATTGTCTCACTAAAGAACAGCGTCCCGGAGTACTTGTGCATCATCAGGTTGTACGGTCTGCCGAGGTCTTTCATAATGAGATGTCGATCGTAGTACACTTGTTGAAACACGAGTCCGTCGCAGGAAATAGTCGACTTTTTCACGTTATTTTTCGTCGCCGAATTGAGCGCAGCGAAAAGTAGTAGCAATAACATTTTATAGCGTTTAATTTACTTTTATATGGGGAACAGAAGTTTTTGTGAGAATCCCTGTTTATGTTCCGCGAGGAAATTAGAATGTCGGATGAAATTCGTTTCGCCCGGTCCTTCGTTTCGCGTCACATTTCTTCATTTGCGCTGAAATAAAATAGAAGTTGTATGGTCGCAGCCGTTCTGCGATCGTTAAATTTTAATGTAGTTTTAAAGACTATTCGTTTTTGTCCGCCTTTTTAAGTTTATGCTAAGTTTTCAAGGCTCTTTATTCATTTTTACGATGTTCTTGAATATAACACCGGTGGTAAATATGTAACAAAAAATGTTAAGTTGCTCTGGGTATAAAATTAAATTTAACACTATAGAATGTCTAAAAGAATTATTCTTTCTAGTACTAATTATGCACAATATATCAGGAATATATTTTAATTACAAAAAAACGTGTGTTATCAGACACGTTATTATTTATGAACTGACAGATTCAATGCGAATTAAATAATCATGTTTATTCTTGCATAGACAATTTGTATAAATAGGCGTGATTGTCCAAACAATTGTAATATTGTATATATTATTTATTTATAAACAAATATACAAAGACAATCAATAGTTAATAATAAAATTAGATTATAGTAAATTACAAAACTGTCTTCCGAGGTGATTTGTGTAGTTGTAGCTAACAAGTGAGATTATAAAACAAGCCAAGTTTGAGTTGGATTCGTGCACGGAGGGTTTCGTATCACTAGGTACTCGTACACTATTTCATTCTCTGGGCCCCCTCAAAACTTCGTAGCGGGCTGGTGGTGCGTTTATTGGTTCTGGTCGACTATTGTCTCTGAGGAGGTTGTAGTAAGTGCGAGAGGTCCTGGGTTCGAATCCCAGATAAACAAATAATTGTTTCGGTCTGGCAGGGCACAGAAGTCTGATCAACTACTTGCCCCTTAAAAGAACGGATCAGTGAAACGGACACAGAAATGTGTTCGCCCCATGCCCCACGAGGGGGAAACGGGCTTTCACTTACACGTCATTATTACCTGACGTGGACTTTAGGCATTCACACCATCAGGTAAAAAAAAGGTACACGGTTTTTAAGTATGTCCAGTTCAAAAAAGTATAATATTCTTCTCGCGTTAATAATTTTCATTTCAATTGAGCTACCGTTTTCTTTCTTCGTTAGAGCAGCAGCAGAAAACGCTGTTGATGCCAGTTCAATTCAGTCATTTTTTTAACTGTCAATTTTTTATTTACTTCGAGTTCTGTTATTTATATGGAGCAAAAACGGGCAGCATCCGTAAATATTCTTTTGCTCTTGTTGTTTTTATTGACTTCTTTCTTTGTTTCTTCTAGCGGTTACATAAATACACAACTTATGAAAATATCATTTATTTCAAAATACAGCTTGGCGGCAAATATCCATTTAGCAAAATTGTCTTAGTAATAGTGTCCCGGTTTAACCCTTTACGTATGGAACCCTAAAATAGTTTACTTCAGTATTACTTGTATTTTACACGAGTAGCACACATTCAAATAAAACCCTTCTAACGGTTTAAAACGCGAAATATAAAATAACTTCTTAACAATTTATTTTAACTACGGCCCGACGTTTCGGATGCTTTGCAGCCGTTGTTAGGTTATAAGACTGACCATAGTGTAGCAGATTTGACATTATATTTTTCGTTTTAAACCGTTAAGTGTTATATTTAAAGTTGTCCTCAGTTAAAACGGCAAACTAGACTTACAATAGAGTTTTGATATCTAAACAAACGGCTATACTTACCAAACAATTTTTTTGTAATATTGTTTATGTCACATAAATGTATAGTAACTTTTCTAGTATATATGTACTATGGAATCTTACACCAACAAATAACTTAATTATATATATATATATATATATATTGTGGGTTTCCCACAGATTAAAAACGGAACCCTAATAGTTGAGTTTAATTATTGTATAATAGCTACTAGTCTAAGCCTCGAGATAAGCGGCCATGTTAATTTCCTAGACAGTATTCAGTTATTAACATACAGCGAACATACGTTAAATGATTAGAAGCGGTTTGGTCAGCGCGGATTGTGCTGAGAACGCAATTAGTGCAGTGTAACTGCTTTTAAATTATGACAAAAGACCTGCTGTTTTACTGTTATTATGCTGAGAATGTATCGGATTAATCAGCATTTATGTAGACGGTAGAGGGTTTTTATATTTCTTTCTTGTTCTAAGTAATAAATAGATTAGTTAAATAAAACACTTTTAACGCTTCGAAATGTGAAATAAAAAAGTTGCGTTATTTTAGATTGATTTAATTAAAACCGATTGTTTAACTCGCGTGCAGACATTAGGTACTTAAAGGTAATAATTTTCACAAAAAACATCAGTAACCAGTTGGTCTTTTTAGTGACCCTGCGTTATCTAATGCTGTACGGTTTGGAAACATAAGTTTGGATCCGTAAACCTGGTCGTAGTGAAAAATAAGTGCCTTACATATATCGTGTTCTAAACCGTTAAAAGTGTTATATATATATCTGTGTGTGTGTGATACTTATAGGCCAATTGGAGCATGGGGTGAAAACGACTTTGTGTCCATTTCACTGCCTATATATACACAAGTAAGTTGGTGGTTAGTTTCCTTGGATTCGAAGCCAGGATCTGTCCTACTAACACGGGCTAGGAATCTTATTAAGATTTATAGTTATTTTGGACCACGACAAAAATTCAGTAACCAAATTTCTATATAGTTATATAAATGCGAATACACATTACCACACCAATGAACAAGATGGCATTAAGCTATTTATTTTCATTATTTGATAACCCAGGTATTTCTCACAGAATAAATATATATATAAGTAACTATACTGGCCCTAGTTAATAATAATTTTCAAACAAGTTTAACTAAAAGATATCGCGTTTTTAACCGTTACAGTGTTTTATTTAAATATGTATAATTCTGCTGTCGAAACTAGCAAAGCTTTGTGTATCTGTAACTGTCAGTTTCATATAAATAATTCAATTAGCGTTAATTACATACATGATTGGAACTTGATCGTTAATTATTTACCATACAACATTTATTCCTGCATAATTAGTCTTAGCTTTGCCGCCATCAGTAATTATTTGCTTTGCTATATGTATTTGCTGATTTCTGTACAACATTTTTACGATAATACAGATAAGATGTAAATAGGTTACGCGAGTAGTACACATTTAAATAAAACACTTTAACGGTTTAAAACGCGATATATTAATTAAACTTATTTGAAAATGATTTGTAACTTCGGCCCGACGTTTCGGATGCTTTGCTTTGTTTTAAGAAACTTAACTTTTGATATCACCAGCTAGTCCTGTGCGCTACTTAAGAAAATACTCAGTATTTTTATGTAGGATTCTTGTGATAAAATAAACTCTTGAATCAAATAGCTTTTAATATCATTCTTTACAATTATATCATTCTTTTGTATTTAAATACAATATTCTCACGGATAAAAGAGCGAAATCTTTTTAGTTATTTACAATCCAATTTAACAACTGCCCGGTGTTTCGCACATAAGATGGAAGGTGTAGCTAATATCAAAACCAATAGTGGTCTTCTCGTTTTTTTGGAATCTAGTGTAGTTTTCTGCCGTAGTTGTAGTAGATGAGAGACGACAAAACTCAGCCAATTAAACTTTTGCTCGATATTTTACTCAAATATGTTGTAATTAATTAATGAATATAACAGTATTTTAATGAGTTAACATCGTTAGTAAAATAATACTGCGGTAAGGGTAAAAGTTTGCTACGAACATATTAATAAAGCAAATGTTTCCTCACCTCCTTACAAGAACGTCAAAAGTTTGCGGCCATTTTGAAAATTACCCGCCAAAAGAAAGTGTCGCTTAAACAGTTTCTGTTTAAGTTTAAGAGTCTTCATTACGCAAACAAAAGATGTTGAAAGTTGTCAGAATGTTTTAGAGAAAATGTTCAGTTTCAGGCGGAAATTTTTTAAAGAACACCTACTTTTATGAAAAGTGGAAACTTTGTTTTAAGGTGGCTGTATGCCTAAATTGTCCTTTTGTTCCCTTAAATTTTCAGTTTGGGATACAATTTTTGTGTTTTGACAAAGGAATAGGCGTTAGACAATATAAACAATAGCTTTTGCTAAAGTTGTATTTCTTTTAAACATTACTGTTTTAGCACAGTTGGTTGTAAAAGATTTTTTATATTAAACACTTTATTTTTTATTCGATTGGCACTAAAAATATATTTTTCTGTATTAATCAAGCGATAATTCTGTTATGCATGAAACAAATTTCTATCGCTTTTATTTTAAAGAAGTCTTAGATCTTTTGCTTGGATGTGAACCCGAGCCCTATCTAGACAACAAAGACTATGACTTTAATAACAAAGGTTAATCGTAGGAAACATAGAGCCTTCCATGGAAACAGGCGAAATGAATGTAGGAATATAAATTTGAATGTTTCCCCTGCATAATTGGGACCAGTTTCCGACAATTGTCCAAATCAAATAGAATCCGAACAATGGAAATGGGGGAAATGTGTTTGTTCCTATCTCATTTCCGTTCCTTTAAATATTTTTAAAAGCCTCCATTGTATTTGTGACAACCCTAGCGAAAATGAGTTTGTGAACATTGATACACCGAGAAGTTTGGAGTTAGGAGAATTTGGAAATTAAATTAAGCGCTTCGTTCTTACGATTACATACCTCAATATTATAAATTCCAACGCTTTTGTGTCTCTTTGTTACTTTTTCATTTCTTAACAGTTTGTTAGATCATATGAATAATCGATGTTTATAAAATCAGATAGTAGTAAATTTAAATGTGTAAATAACTAACAAGTAGTAACAAGGCGGTTTGCTAATTATGTATATCTGTAAACAAGAAACAAGAACAAGTTAAAGAGAAATAAATTAATATTTCAATGAAAATACAATATCCTCTTTATCGCCAAGTCAAATGTCCTTATGAAAGGTACAGTAATAAAAATTAACATTACGGCTG